TTTTTTTTTGGTTTTTCTCCGGTACCAGGAACGGAACTCACGACCTTGCGCTTGCCAGGCAGGCGCTTTGCCACTGAGCTAAATCCCCAGCCCTAAATGGAATTTCTAGTTTTGCTTTTTTCAGGAATCTCCACACTGATTTCCACAGTGGTTATACTAGTTTAGATTCCCACCAACAGTATAGTAGAACAGTTCCTTTTCTCCTACATTCTTGCCAGCATTTGTTATTATTTGATTTCTTGATGATAGTCATTTTTTCTGGGGTCAGATGGTATGTCAACGTAATTTTAATTTGTATTTCTCTAATACCCAGTGATGTTGAACATTTTTTCATGCATTTATTGGTCACTTGTACTTCTGAGAAATGTCTGTTCATTTTTATTGCTCATTTTTATTGGATCATTTATTTGGGGGAGTGTAATTTTTTAAGTACTTCATATATTCTAGATGTTAGTCCTCTGTCCAAAGAATAGCTGGCAAAATATCTTTCCCATTCTGTAGGTTGTTTTTCACTCCATTAATTGCTTCCTTTGTAGAAGCTTTCTAATTTGTTATGATCCTATTTGTTGATTCTTACCATTATTTCTTGTGCTATTAAGGTTCTGTTCAAAAATTCGTTGCTTATGCCTATGTCTTCAAGAGTTCTACCTATTTTATCTTCTGGCAGATTAGGTGTTTCTGTTTTAACATTTAGATCTTTGATCCATTTTAGTACATGATGAGACATGTAGGTCTAGATTTAATCTTCTGCATATTGATATCCAGTTTTCCCAGCATTATTTACCAATGAAGCTGTTTTTCTTCCAGTGTATGTTTTTGGCCCCTTTGTCAAAGATCAAACAGCTGAACGTGCCTGGGGCTGTTTCTGCATCCTCTATTCTCATGTCTGATTCTGTGCCAGTACTATGTGATACTTTTGAGCAGTCAAGTTACCTTCTCAAAACTATGCTTTAATTATGTGGAATAGAGTAGTACTTTGTTACATATAAATAGCACATTTTCTTTATCTATTTATCTGTTGGTGGACATGTAGGCTGCTTTCAAGACTTAGTTATTTTTGTGCTGCTAAAGACATGAGTATGCATGTATCATTGTAATATGATGTCTTTAATTCTTTCAAGAAGATAGCTAAAAGAGAAAGAGCTGGGTCAAATAGAATTTCTAGTTTTAGTTTTTTTGAGAAATCTCCAAACTGATTTCCATAATGATGTTTGTACTAGTTTACATTTCCATCAGCAACATAGAAGAGTTCCTTTTCCCCCACAGCCCCACTAGCATTTATTATTTGGTTTCTTGATGATAGACATCCTTTCTGGAGTAAGATGGTATCTCAGTGCTGTTTTAATTTTCATTTCTGTAATGGCCAGAGATGTTAAACTTCTTTTCATGTATTTATCATGTATTTATTGGCTATTTGTACTTCTTCTGAGAAATGTCTATTCATGTCAGTTGCCCATTTCTCAATTGGATCTTTTATTTTGAGGGTCAGATTATTTTTGAGTTCTTTATATATTCTAGGATTAGTCCTTTGTCCAAGGAAAGGTTGGCCAAAGTTTTTCCCATTCTGTAGATTGTTTCTTCACTCCACTGATTGTTTCCTTTGCTGTGCAGAAGCTTTTTAATTTGATAGGATCCCATTTGTTTATTCTTGATGTTATTTCTTATGCAACTGGGGTTCTGTTCAGAAAATCCTTGCCTATGCCTGTCTTCAAGATTTTTACCCATTTTGTCTGCCAGCAGGTTGTTTCTGTTTTAATATGTAGATCTTTGACCTATTTTTATTTTAGTTAGTACATGATGAAAGATATGGGTCTAGGTTCAAGCTTCTCCAAAAGTGACTTCATACTGACTCATCAAGCATACTTACAAAAGAATTGAAATTATCTGATGTATATTCAAATAATAATACAATGAAACTGGAAACCAATTGCAAAAGAAACCACAAAATTATGCAAACACATGGATATTAAACAATACACTTGAACAATCAATGGGTCCTAGGAGAAATGAAGGAAGAAATTAAATAATTTCAGTAATCAAATGATAATGCCAGTACAATGTACCAGAGTCTATGGGGCACAATGAAATCAGTCCTAAGAGGGAGGTTTATAGCTGTCAAAGCCCACATCAGAAAAACAGAAAAGTCCAAATAAATAATCTAATGATGCATCTAATGTGGAATAAAAACAAGAACAGTGCAAATCCAAAGCTAGTACAGGATGGAACCTATAAAGATCAGAGCAGAAGTTAATAAAATTGAGACAGAGAAATGGTAGTAGTCTGAGCAAGCTTGTATAATAGTTTTCATTCCTGATAAGACCTGCTAACTCTGCCTAGAAATTTTTGGGAGCCCTCAGAATCTCTGGTAGACTTTCACATTTCGATTAGTTTTTGCTACTGGGAACAAATGTATATGTAATTCTTGTTCGCCATCTTGTGGCAGTGTTTAAAAATGCATTTTGTTTAGAAGTCCTTGGGTTGAAACTAAGTTATTACTTCTTACTGCAAAAAGAACAATTTGCAAGGAGGCATTTCTTCCTAGTCTTCCCAATCCAAAATATTAGGTTTAGGAGCTGGGGATTTAGCTCAGCGGCCAAAAGCGCCTGCCCGGCAAGCGCAAGGTCGTGAGTTCAGTTCCCGGTACCAGAGAAAAACCAAAAAAAAAAAAAAACCAAAATATTAGGTTTAGTCTCTAAATAAATTAAATTAATCATCTGGGGAGATTGAAGTATAACTCGGAGGTATAATAATTCAGAGCTCAGGCTCTGAAATTAGACTAGAAGAATTAGAATCTCAACTTTGCTACTTATTAGCAGCACAGTCTTGACATGTTACTTAACCTCTTTATGAATGTGTGAAATGGACATATAATGAGAATATTTTAAGACACACAACTGAGGATGACGAGATATTTGAGAAAGATATGGAGCATGTGAAAGTACAGGACGAGTAAACAAAGTAAATGAAAGAGCAACAAGATAAATCAGGAATTAATAGCATTTATATAAAAGTTTAAGTATTTGTTATGGTTGAAACATTGTGTCAACTTGGGGAGTCTAGAGGTTTGGCTAAGTGACTCAGCAGGAAGCCAGG